CGGGGATTGCATGAGTTTAGGTATTAATATACTTGATCTCATGTAATGCATGCGGCGAGGAATATATCGGGGAAACGGGTAGACCACTTTGTGCCCGCATAAAAGAACATCTGGATGGGAAAGCTAAAATCCGTTTAAACACCCCTCTAGGTACGCATAGGGCACAAAAGCACAACGGCGATGATTTTGAAGTGAATGTGCGGATCCTAGCGCAGGAATCAAAAACATCAATGCGCAAAACTCCTGAGGCGTTTTGGATAAATTTCAAAAATCCAAAGATGAACCGGAAGGACGAATGCCTCACTATCACACGTGACCTGGCGCCCTATTTCAAAATGATATTTTGACCCCGGGGCGTGTCTTGCTCGCGACTCCACGTGAACTACGTGTGGGCCAGTCCCGCACGTAACATCACGGTGAGTGGCCTTTCTGTTCAATATGGCGTCTATTTGAAAGTTTGATCTTCATTAATACTTTAACCTTCTTTTCCACCGAATAATAAAAAGTATTCTAACATAAAGTACGTCCAGGCTCTGAGGAAGGCGAAGTCGCCGAAACGTCAGCCATCGATCAATAACATCAAAAACAACGACAACGAAGATCTGTACCAACCTCGCGTCAGCTTAAGAAGATCAGTTTATAAGATCTCATAAATAAATATATCAACTATTTATGCCGAGATTCATAGAAAGTCGGTCTTTCGAGTTATTAAGAGATGTTCTGGCTATGTAGTTCATGCTCTGTTTTCTAAGCGGTGCTCCCTTCAGATCATTCAAAAGATCATCTTTCCAAACTAATACGTTGACGCTGAGGTTAACGTACTTCGTTTTTTCATCAACGAAATAACATGCCGGATCTCGGAAAGGAGAACAACATATCCATCCTCATCTATTTCATATAACAATAGAAAACGTTGCTGTTGAAGAGATCTGAGTAGTAATGGTAAATGATCTTCCCCACTGCCTATCTGGATGCTGCAACTGTTGTATCTGAAGGTCGGAGGGTAATCACATTGGTTTGCAGTTGGCGAAGCTTTGCTGAGCTTTGCGAGTGCTCTTTCTAGCATCTTCGGTTTAGACAAAAGCTGCTGCTTTTCTTTCTTTAAAATCTTTTTTTATTACCTGTTCGAATTGTTTTGCAAGCTTATAGATGAGTTTGTGGTTGTCTATAGCCCGGGCGATTCCGCGTTGGCGTATGGGCGCGTGTGTTTCTGGAGAAAGACGACTTATGGTGACTTTCGAACTCCCTGCTTTCACAGCGCTCGTGGGAAAATGTTTAACGAGCTGATCGTATTCGTCGTCGATGTCACCGACAATAGCATCTTCTCAATATCCGACTAATAATTTGAATAAATCGCAATTTGTGGTGGTTTTTGGACCTCGTTTATTCAATTCAGCGGCTTTTCTTCCTTTTCGCAAGAAATGAAACTTGAACGAAGAAGGCAATTGTTTGATCCTGTGTAAAATTGTGAACAAAAGCAAAAGCGGTTAAGCAAAACCTTCGCTTTACTACTATGTGATCTATTTCGTTAAAGTACTCTCCATTCTGAGACTCCCACCTCCAGAGTTGAGAGTGGGGCTACTAGAATTGCGATTTACAATGAACGGTATTGGTCGTAATGGTAATCCCAGACGGCTGTTCACCCTCCTCGTTCTATTCTAATCCATGTGTTTTAATGTGACGTTGCTCAGCCGTTTTTCTAGCTTAGTTTTATCGTTAAAATCCCTAATGATTACCTCGAGGAATGTGTTGCCTTCTCTATAAAACTCCTCCAAGTCCATATAAAAAAAGGGGCCTCATTCCTCTAACACGAAAGAGCAACCAATTTCGCAACGTTGGGTAGGACGAGTACGGAGACGCTGTTAAAATCTCAGGACCAATGGAAACTGCCTGGATTACAAAGAGCTATGGTGACGATGTACCTACAATGCATGCACACATGCATCCGACTTCTCGAAAGAAGTCCTACTCATGCAAGGAAAAGGATGAGGTACGGCGTCATCGGTCTGGCCGAGACGAGAAGACACCAGCCTTTCGACGCCGTCTATGACACCGGAGAAGAACTGTTCCTCAGAACATGTCCAACAGTAGAGGTGTCGGCGGCGTCGGCGCTCTCCTCAACACGAGTTTGACCATAAACATCGATTCATTCGAACAACTTGCAAACCGAATCAGACGCTTACGATTTAGAAGACGAAGAATAATTCCAACTTTAGCAATCTTCGTTGTTTACGCGCCGACATCAAACTACGACAAAGAAGAAGTCGAAGCGTTCTATATGGACATGGAAAAGTTCTACAGAGAAGACCACACAGTCTTCAAGGTTATCACTGAAGATTTCAACGCCAAGATAGGACCAATAAGAACGCCTGAAGAACCTCACACTGGGTGCCATGGATTAGAATGGAACGAAAAAATAGAGCGGCTGTCCGAGTTTAACATGACGACCATGACCATCTATGGTAACTCGTAGTTCCAGAAGCCCCACCCTCAGCGCTGGACTTGGGAGTCTCCCAGTGGGGAGTACTATAACGAAATAGACCGCCACATCATAGTAAATAGAAGGTTTTGCCTCACCGATGTCTCTGTTGTAACAAAATTCTACACTTGATCAGACCACCATCTCTTTCCTGCAAGATTCTATTTCTCGCGAAAAAAAGAAAGAGCCGATAAATTCAAAAACCGATGTTCCAGAACCACTGCTAACTGGGACTTATTCAATTCATTAATCGGCTGTTGGGAAAATGCCGTTGTCGATAACAACGACGAAGAATGCGATCGGCTCATTCAACATTTTCACGCTAGCGCTATGAAAGCTCAAAGTTGGAAAGTCACCAAAAGAAGTCTGTCTCCAGAAGCACTAGAACTGATACGCCAGCGTGGATTCACACGAACTGCAGGCAACCGCGAACTAACGTTCGAACTTATAAAACAATGCAGACAGGCGATAAAAGAAGATCTTAAAGGCAGAAGAGCAGCACTAATGGTCGAAGCTGCAAAGGCTGGGAAAAGCATTCGCGAAGCCCACCGAAGCTTCGCCAATTACAAGACCAAGATTATTGCACACCGATGCCCAGATGGAACAGTCACAGCGTCCAGAAAGGCAATGGAAACAATCATTCGCGAACACTACTGTGATCTCTTCGATAGTCACGTCCACCTTCTTTCATGTGAAATAAAGAAGGATAGATTTATTGTACTAGCGGTTCTCCCTTCCAAAATCCGACACGCTGTTTTACCGCTGAAAAATCGAACAGCACCAGATCTGGACAGGATAAGATCGGAACACCTGAAGAACTTTCCGCCAGACCTCATAAACATACTTGCTCGGCTCTTCACACGTTACCTGTCTAAATGCAAGGTCCCTACTTAGTGGAAGACCAGCAAGACCGCGTTATTGTTCAAGATGGGTGACTTTCACGATATCGGCAACTATCGCCCAATCTGCTTACTGTCTGTCGTCTGCAAACTTTTCACTCGAGTCATCCTGAACAGGATTGACAGGGCATTGGGCGAAGGACAGCCATGTGAGCAAGCAGGGTTTCGAAAAGGATTTAGTGCAATGGACCACATCCACACGGTAACACGGCTCGTTGAAGTATCGCGAGAGTACAAAAGACCGCTCTGTCTCACTTTCATCGATTTACAGAAGACCTTTGATTCAGTTGAGATAGAAGCAGTCATGGAAGCCCTTGATAGTCAAGGAGTCTCTACCCAGTACACGAAGATTTTTCGTAAGCTGTACAAAAATTCACAACCAAGATATCACCATTCTACAACGATATTATCATTAACGTCAAAAGAGGAGTTAGGTAAGGCGGTACCATCTCGCCAAAATTATTTCCCTCCACCCTCAAGAACGTCATGTGAACATTTGAATGGAATGATATGGGAGTGAAAATCGACGGTCGGCACTTACACTATCTTCGCTTTGCTGATGACATCGTCCTTATAACATCAAACATTAGCCAAGCGGAACGTATGCTTGGCGATTTTGATAAAGCCTGTGAAAAGATTGGTCTTCGACTAAATCTCGCAAAAGCGATGTTCATGAAGAACAGATTGCATTTGTGTGCCCCATTCACGCTCAATGGAACGAATATCTCCGAATGCTCCAGTTATACCTATCTAGGTCGGGGAAACAATATAATGAACGACTTAGCTCCAGAGCTGAGCAGAAAAAACGAGCAGCTTGGGGAGCCTTCGAGAGCATCGAGGATGTAGTGAAGAGAACAAGGAACACCGGGCTCCGTGCTCACCTTTTCGACTCAACGGTATTTCCTGCCCTAACGTATGCGTCAGAAACGTGGTTACTGCATAAGCAGGATGAACGATCACTCAGCGTTATCGAATGCGCAATCGATAAGACGATGCTAGCAGTATCCCGTTTCACGCGAATAAGGGATGGGATCCGACCTACGTCAACGGTCAAAAATCAAAGATACCGTTCTGCACCCCAAACAGTCGAAGGTAAGGTGGGCCGGGACAACCGATGGGCAAAAGCCGTTAGTGACTGGATTGCTCGGGGTGTCAAACGTACTGCATTAAGACCGACCCGATGGTCAGAGCTCTTTACAAAGAGCCTTCAAAAAAGATATAGTGCTCGATGAGTCCCTAGAGCGAGCAGAACGCACTGTGCTACTCTTGCACGCGACTGGGAAAAGTGGAAGATTTATTGGCTGCCGCTCGAGTCACTCGACGATCAACGGGACAACAGATGAAATAGGTGTTACCAAAAACAAGCTTTGCTGCGCTTCGAAACGCTAAATTGTTAAAGATAAGGTGGGCAGGGCACGTAATGTATATCAGTAACAGCCGACGGGCCCTTGAGGAAGTTAACGCGTGACAAAAGCATCCACTACTGGATAATGAGAGTTCTTCACAGAAATCGTAATAAGAAACATAGCGCTCAGCGAGTGCCTAAAATGAGTGGAACCTACTAGGGTACTCTTACCCGCGACAGAGAGAAATGAAGGATTTAGTAGCTTCCGCTGGAGTCATTAGACTATCGCTAGAGCGATAAGTGAAAAAGGCGAATCAAAAACAACTCGCAAGAATAAAGTATTACTGCAGAGTTCGCTAGAGAGTCGGTCATTCAAATGACTTTTTCCTTGTTTATGTGGTTTGCATTTTTGCTGATGACTTTGAAAAAATGCTTTGGAGAAAATTCGTATTATTACCGGTCATAAGCATTGCGAGTCGTATTGCTCCATAGATTCGATGCGCGTTGTAGAAGACACTATCTACTCCGCGTGGTAGACCAAGATAGAGTGTTCCTGAATGTCATCATTTATCACAAAGAATTTTTCTTAAGTTAATTAGATCAATGTGTTGAAAAATAGTTTCTCAGTTGGAAAAAAAGAGCAAAAACTCTGTATACATAATAATATGGCATGCAAATTTTGCAGGAGATTTAGAAAATGGTGGTAACGATGTTGTACTGGTTTTGAGTAGAATTGTTCGACTAAATGATTTCAAAGTAGTCACTTTTTTATTTGCTAGTCCTTTAATAGCAGGTTATGATGTGAAATATATTCACAATGGTGCTGCGATATTTGCAAAACTCCGGACTAGAGGTGTCTGCGATGGAGATCGAATACGCCATTACAATTTACAGGGCTAACGTTAACGCGCGTTCACCACCACGTCATGCGAGTCCTTCGCTTTGCTTTTCTCTCAGCCGTGTTTTATACGTTCTATCAGCAATCATCTGTCAGCGGAACCGATCTGGAAAGCACAAATCGCCATGATTTGATTTCAACGCTTTCTTGACACTGAAAATTTTGTCTAATAGAAAATTTTATGCTCGAGAATCTTCATATCCAATACTCGTTGTTTCAGATAGAATATCACTAGCAACCGAAGCAAAATTAAGTACCTGTGCCGACGAGCGAAGGGCCAGATGTTTGCTTCCGAAGTACCATTAAATTGTGGACAATACTTTTAAGCTAATAAGAGTAAGATCCCACTGAACAATTTACCTCCAGGTTTCAATAGACACAATATCTTCCAAACTTCACGCAAATCTCCGATCGGATCGATAGCATCACCATATCTGTACGCTTCTTTATATAATTAAAAAATTGTAGACACTCTAAAAGCATTACTGGCTAAATGGTTACAAATTTTCAAAGCAGGTGGAAATTAGAAAATTGAGAGAAATTCTATTCTAAACAATACCGCTCCTTCTAAAGAGGACCTTTAATAAATTTCTTAGGCTACACTCCACAATAAAGTTGCTTATCTTAATGAAGAATTCTAATGTTTCCGACAATGGTACTGAAAATTTTACTGCACACCACAACACAAAGCCGGTTGAAAAATGTCACAAAAAAAACTCCGAGAATTTTCCACGCTTACCTTCCAAGCCCACTGTGTTCAATAGACGAGAACGATATCGCAAAATCAAAGCCGTTTTGATTCCTTAAGATCGACATATCAAAAGACGCATGGCTTCCATTAAAACCTCTTTAACACATTCACAGCGTGAGCTCTGCAGCTGTCATAGATGAGCAGATATTTTCACCTCTGCAGAGATCACTTCACCTCTGATGAGTTTGGCGCGCAGAAACGTTTTCCCAAAATTCTTGCAATCCAGGCTATAGTTTATCCAACAAAGATGTGAAACACGTCAATCAGGACAAGTTTTATTTTGTTCTTAGAAATATTCAAAGAGCTTTATCTCTAAAGTGTTCATTGACCAGTAATTTCATTGGCACTTTACTATCAAATGACTAGCATGAGTATAAAAAGTAAAAAAAAAAGATTCAATGTAAGCAACAAAACACGTCCAAATGTTTATAGCAATCTGTTTGTATGATTTACCAGACTTGCAAATAATAAATAAGCACATATTCCAACGGCCGCGGGAGGTGTAGTAGTCGGAGGCGCTCTGCAACGCAGACGTGGAATCGTTCCCCGCACCCACGGCCCACCAAGCCTACCATCCCTCCGAGGTCGACAAATTGGTACCAGACTTGGAGGATAGCAGCACTGGCTCTATACATCGGCAGAACACCATGTTTCATTGTAAAGGCCAGATATGCGTTCAATCACTTCCAAACGATGATTAATGAAGTCGAATCCATGGCGCATCTCTTAGGGATTGATGAACGCCGAGAGCTTTATCGTTTTATCCATTATATATGCCATCCGAAGCAATATAGTGATAGAGCACAATTTCTTTTATAACTTTGTCGTATTTTCAACCTTTCATGTCTTTTAGTTACCGAGGCACCATTGTCTGTCTGCAGCGCTGAAGCTACAGTAGAACGTTTATTGCATTGCATCAACACTTTCACCGGGGATAAATAACGTAGGAATTCCTCGAAACATTCTAACGATGTGTTTATTAAAAAGTAAGTGGCAGTATGCATTTTTTCAAAGTACTTTATTTCCGAGAAGTTATTTTGGTGTAAATAGTTTATTTGTTATACTTCTGAATTCAATTATCACTTATCTAACAAACGGGCCAGCAATGGCTGGTAAAATCTGTCCTCCACATTTGATAGTTTAGACAACTTATTTTCAGACACATTTTTCAACACATAGAGCGTCTAGCGAAAAATTGAGCGCACTACTACAGGGCTGTCGAACTAACTTAGTCGGATATGTGTTCATGAAGAATTAGAAAGTAACTAATCAGTGAGCGATGAACAAATTTCCACGATAATCGACAATAATTGGCTTGACTTGAATTGATGTTAAAAAGATCAAGTGAGTGTGATTGGTCTTGTTTAAAACTTTTCTTTACAATAACCCGAAAATGAAGTAGTTCAGGGATACACAAAGGCACACAAGTGTGAAATTCGCAAGTAGTAGTTCCCAAGATCGACTTTCTCTTAACCTCGGCATTGGAATATGAATGTGTCGTTTTCTTGTTCAGCAATCGCGAGGTTTTTAAACAGCATACATTTACTTCCATAAAAACACAATACAATACAACGCTAGCTGACGTTTCGGCAGTATCGCCTTCTTCAGAGCCTGGAAGGGTATACTAATATACAATCTACTAGGCCAAACGCTTCAATAACACTTACAAGAAGACGAAGAACTCTCCGGTAATTACATAATCAACAACTTCTCGAAAAACCCACCCCAAGCCCCAATTACCGAAGAGTCCGAAGTAATTACCGTCTTTTTGTGTCATTGAAGCGTTTGGCCTAGTAGTTTGTATATCAGTATACCCTTCCAGGCTCTGAAGAAGGCGATACTGCCGAAACGTCAGCTAGCGTTGTATTGTATTGTGTTTTTTTTATGGAAGTAAATGTATGCTGTTTAAAAACCTCGCGATTGCTGAACAAGAAAACGACACATTCGCAAGTAGTTTCATAATTTTTCTACTTCAACTGACGGAACGTCTCACCGATAGCGTAGTCCTCTTTAAGCTCTCCAAACAACTTCACACGTAAAATCTTATGGTAAACTTTAGAAAAAAAAATGCACTTACTTTTTCCATTGCTTTGCAAATTCGATAGGATGAATGTACTTAACCTTATCGCTACCGTAAATCGTTGTGTTTTGATATTCTACTGTAACCACCTGAAATTTAAGTGGTATAGGTAGACACGTTTATATTTTGCTCCAACGATTTCTAGAATTTTTGGTGAAAGAACACTGGAATACTTCCAAGTAGAGTCAAGCGTTTTGTCTATAAGTTTTGTCCAGATCGCTCTTCAGACAGATAGCGAAGTGGTCCGCATAATATTGAGGAAAACCAGCGCTAGCTTGCAACATCCGGCAATGGATTTCCAAATTTTATTATTGTCAATAGCCATCAGCAACAGATCATGGAGAGCAGCTCCTGAGCTTTTACAGTTTAAAAAATATTTTCTCTGTTGTATCTCCAACTAGAGCTCTGCTCTCACAAACTGTCACCGCCAAAATATGTGGAGTAGTTGTTCATCGGCGTCGAACTTCGATGTAAATCGACTTTCGTCCAGAATTAAGCTCTTAGAAAAGCGAAAACATAACCTAGAAGATATATGACATTTCAACGACCATCCATAATTACAACTACTAACTCTACTAACACAACTTTAACCGCTGACAGTGTTCAAAACAACACCATTATACTGGGGTAAAAATAAAAACATCCGTGTAGAAAAAATCACTACGACTTTTTCTTTAAAGATGCTTTCTTTAAATTTTCTAACTTCTCGCACACAATTTGCTTTCTTTGAATTCATAGTGAAGAGAGGTCTTCGAACATTTCCCACGTTATTTCGGTTGAAGATTTAATCTTATTTATGAATATCGCGAGATGCTAGTCAAATAGACTCTCTTTACAATCTAAGATACACCCGAGCTATGGTGTTCAAAGGGCGCGTGTGGCACAGTGGTCGGTGGATCCCTACAACACACACGTGGAGTAGATTTCCGCCTCCATGGCCCACTAAGCCTTCCAACCTTCCGAAGTCAGCAAACTGGTACCAGACTTCTCTTCTCACGAGGAATGGAGTAGAGGATTGGAGTAGGGTCAAACCAGTCCATGGTTTGTGATAAACTGCACCATTAACCACTGCTCTATTCCTCCTTCCTTGCAAGTCATAATATTGCATCAAAAAATAATGGTTTTCGAGAAAAACTGATGATCTGGACTCGAGAAAATTTGTTACTGTTTGCATAACCGGCCGTGGAAACAAAAACCTTTTCGCTCGAAAGGTATTAAGCATAAACGAAAGATATGAGGGAAAGAGAATGGGAGAGGAAGAGGGAGGGAGATAGGTAGAAAAGAAGCGAAAAGCTGTTTATGGTCACGATTGATCAAATGGAGGCCTAAGATTCATACGACAGAATCACTGAGTGTGGGCATCACCATTCATTCTCTCGATTAAGTTTTATTTCCTTATCCTTTATTTCCTCCTAATGGCTTACCTCCCTGGTCGAGGGCTGCTTCCAGGTAACGGGTTGTGATGTACAGCGAGTGATTCATCCTTCCAGCAAGTCCTTCCAAGCTGAGGAAGAGTCCGTCGTTTCCATCAGAAACCCCAGCTGAGAGTAAATCAATACTCGAATCTACCACCGTCTTGGTATCAAATTAGTCGAATGTTGACAGATTTCCTCTAACCTACAAAGGCAGCGACTGGATCTGGTTGTAACGATCTGGGGCAGACTTAGGCTAGGTTAACCTCGAGACTCCAGGGAACCATAGCGGCTAAACCAGCATAACTCCGAAAAAATGAAAATTAGGAAAAAAATATTTAGGTACATGCATGTACAATATACAACTTTGAGATGGGCAAAGATTGTTGCTTGTAAGTAAGACAAGAAAGAGAGAAAATAGTACAGTGGTTAATGATGCAGTCAACTACAACGAGGTCCTGCGATCCACCTGGGAACGCCTCAGACGCCTGTCTTCGAGGTTGCAAGAAGATTCGACTCAATCAGCACTCTTCGACATTCGTAAAGAAGACGAGATCCTCAAGCAACAGGTGAAACAACACACAAAATGCTCGAAGACTATGGTGGACGATGAATGCGAGATAAACGAATCAAATGCAGGAGGTGCTGAGACCTGTGTGGTAGACGTCATAAAGAGTCATCTAAAGAAGGTTAAGAGATGAAATGTCGCCATGAATATTCTTGAAAATTTAGAATTTACAGTTTTGCGTGAAGGCCTCTGGATTGTAGTTAAGAATTGCAAGCTGAATGTAGTTCAACACATGGATAGTTAAACAACCCCACTTCACGAGTCTTGCAAACCACAATGCGTTTTGCACTTGTTTCTTTACCTGGCGATCGTCTTCCAATGTGATATTTAATTCTGGCATAATGGCCAGTGCGAGTTTCATACCCTGATTCGAAAAGCATGCTATCTGCGAGTATAGTTGAATCACTTTAGTTACAAATACGTCCGCGCGACATGCATGTGGTCGTTCTAAGAAGGCTCTACACCCTAGTGCGATCTATTATACAGCTTTTTTCGTCTAGTTTTTCTCTAACCTTTGATGAGTCTAGGATAATCTTCATAAAAAACTTGCATAGCACACTCAATAAACATATCGGCGATAATTACGTAGTTACCCTTGAACACTTTTCATCAGGAAGATAGCCATTTACAACGCCTCGATATGTCAACTAGGCGCCTAGTCCTGTTTGTAAAGATATGGTCGATTTCTGCATGTACCGTGCTGTTAGGTGCTCCCGTTTACAGCAGCGACGATTGATTTCCACGGAAGATGCGTACTGTGCGTAAGAGTCCGGCAAGATGGCTCCAAACTTATCTCTCTTTCCTAATACAAAGTACTTTTCAAAATGATAATCTTCTATCCTCTATTTGCACTCGTGAATCTTTCCTCCTCCGGCGTTGGAGTTCCCGACAACAAATTTGCAATAGAGATTATCTTTATGGATAACTTCTTTAAAATGCTAAAAGAACGCATCTAATTCGTACTAATTAGCTGCATCGTTTGTGAGTACCTCGCGTGTGTCGACGAGTAGGGCACTAAACGGGTGGATGGCCAAGCCTGCATCAGCAGCATTTCGTAACGTGACCTTGATTCGCGGATTACAGTGGCAATATTGCTTAGTTGGCGTATCTCACTCTCTCCGATTTTTGTTTACTCTAAGGTGACCACACTGAATTTGATGCGCTCCACGCTTTCAAGAAGGGAGTTAAGATCGGCGTCTTTGGAGAGTGTTCACGTCATTCATGCAGAATAAGAAATAATCTACATGGCGTGTGGTATATGTGTTCACCAGATACGGCTCCAATAAAATAATACGTAACCCGACCGCTCGCCGCTCGTCTCACCGTCTGACATCACAGGCGGGTGCACCAAGTGTGCGGAGTGCTGAGACTGGCCCATTGCTGTTTGGGCAATTAGATCTTGCCCATGAGTCCCAGCAAAACATTATAACGGAGTTTTCAGGGGTACCAGTTGATTTGGTCACGGAAAACCGTTATGGGAAATGGAGGTAGAAATTACAAAACTACCGAGTGCTCAAACACGATGTATAGTCCGAAAACTCCCTTGTTGTTGCAGAGATTGTAAATTATGTGTAGAATAGATAAATATATAACGGATTTTTGTAATAGTTGCAAATTGTACGTTGTTGAATAAATTTTTAAAACTGTTTTTGAAGCAAGTTTAAACAAGTTTATTTGCTGCCTACTACATTTTTTCACGTTGCGGTATTATGTGAAACACAAATACAATGATGCTGAGATATACACAGAACTCCGCAACGCAGGTGTATGCTACAGAGAACGAACACCTTATTACCCTTTCCGAGGACTAGCGCGTTTACCACCACACCATACGGATCCTTCATTTTGACTTTCTCTCAGCTAGCTCTCTATCTGCTAGTGCCACCAGTAATCACCCTTCTCAACAACTTCTAATCTTATCATAGCGAAAACTCTTAGTTCTTGAATTCCATGGACAAACAGGGACACTACTTCGTAACTTTATTTCTCTGAGTTTTTATGATGTAGCAGTAGTCTCTAGTTGAAAAATGGACTGCTACGTTTTTTCCAAACTTCTAAGTGTAAACAACAGCTTTTCCTAGACCACTCTGCGTATGACACATGTGTTGGACAAGCTATCGCAACAGGACAGAAAGTCCAGCAAAAAAGATCTCTGTAGCAAAATAAGATGACCAGCATAAAATGCGTTTTGGTGGCTTGGCCTCGCAAAACTTAGTATATAGTACTGTACATAGTGCTGTTTGGACATTATGTACTGATAGTGTTTTACTCCTAGTCCAATTTCTGTTGATGTATCGACCGCCAAAAATCTGTGAAAAAGGTGAAAAAAATGGAAAGGTGTAAACTACTAAATGCAAAGTCATTTCCATCAAATGAAGCTTTACGTTCGCAGAAAAGATAAAATAGATGAATATACCTCATTGGCACCAAGCAGCAAAGCATACACTTCAATCCAAGGACTCTGCGATCCAACAACGAAACCACTTTTTCCCTTGACAGGATATGTTTTTAACGCATGATAAACCGATTCTGCAATTCATTCTCAAGAGTTCCTAAGTACACGCGACAGAACTATCAAGAAATTAACAGACGTTATATTTTCGTCGTAGTTTTGATGTAACCAAATGATTTTTGTTGTATCTGTATATATGTCTGCGTTATGTCTTTACAAAAAATCCTTGGAACGCAAAAGTGGTCTCACTTCGACCGGTGTTACCGTTCGTTGACAAGGCAAGATTTTTGTTGGATTACTGAGATTATTGTGTCAGCGTAGTTCCAAATCGGCGTCACAGATAGCCATGAGCCCATACCGTTAGGAAGAATTTTGTCGTCGTACGAGTGCTTAGTTGCAACTAAGCCATTTGCTAGTTGGTTCATCAGTTTATTCAAAGCTGGGTTTTCGAACGAGAATGACAAGATTTTGATCACCTATAAAAAATTTGCTGGGTCCGTACCACACATCACAACTCGGCACTAAGTAATATCCAGCCTCCGTTCCGTTTATTAAAGCAATGAGATGGGAACCACTAAAGAGACATCATTGTATTAAGGAAGAGAACTAAGAACGAAGCTGATATCAAAAAGAATCAATTGCTGAGCGGCTATTTAATAATCTTCGCGATGAGCAATATGTGACCGTTTTCTTCTTGAGCAGGGACGAAGTTGTCAAAAATAAAATTTGTTAGATAGTGGACGTCGTTCCTGCGACCTTGTTTTCTTCATAACCTGGGTAGCTCAAATTTACTTACAATCTGCTCAGACCAACATTTTTCTAACCTCGACGAAAAACTCAAAACACAAATTTTATTCACATGGTAAACAGATCCTTTTAAACCAATAACGTTTTCAGACACGTTGGGTTTACAAAGTATCAGCGTTTTGTTTTTCATTTCTCTACCGCTTTTTTTAAAGAGTGGGCTGACATAGGTAACGAAAGTGCTTGGCCCAGGCTATGAAATCGGCTAGAGCTATGGTGCGAGATCACGCGCTATCACAAGATACTCCTCTGGGCGCCTCATTTTTGAAATTCTGAAAATTTTCCAAATTACTTCAAGAGTTTTACGCACCGATGTTTTGAATTTCTGCGAGAGGGTACTAACTTCTACTTCAAACTGCTCTCCATTGTTTTGTGCTTTGTGTTTGCCTAGTGAAGTTTTTTTGGCTTCATATTTCCTAAGTAGGTGCTCTTTTATGCAGACACGGAGCAGTCTGTGTACATCGCACTCGAATCCATGCAATCACTACCTTTACTGCTAAGGTGACTTATGCAATTGCACTTTATGGGCAAACTTTCATAGAAGCGGATACGAATTAGCTGGCATTTTTAGAGCTTACAGTGGGCTTTCGGTCAATGCTATTTTTACAAACCGGCTTTTAAAGCAACTTTTACAGCTGTGGTTGCTCTATTAGAAGGGAATGGCAAAATAAATAGGACCTTTCTTTCGGTAGACATATCGGTTGAGAACATGGTTTTTTCTCTAAACCTATCCCGAAGAGCAGCCGATTCGTTGTTATTGGACGTGGCTGTTTTGCGCACCAAACTCGACGATTTCTTGTTCTACTCTCTTTCTGTGCAGACACTGATTGTTGCTCGAAGATGCTTCTCACAACAAGCACCTTTTTTGTGGGTAAAAAGTAAGGGAGGAGGTAGTATCCTTTCATTCCTTAGCTTTCGATTCCAGTTTATGATATAGCCTTTTGAGATATTTTAATCTGAACATTCATAGACAGAAGCTAATTTGCTCTCGGTTCCTTTCGAATAAAATTTGTTCACTCTGAATGCAGGTTAAGCCATTCAAAACATTTCTTTACCTCCTTCTATGTTAAGCAGATTTTTAAATAGTCATCGATTTACCAACAGTAGGGAAGAAGTGCTGCTGGCGAGCCAGTGTGAGCCTTTCAACTTAAGATGTGAACGCTAACAACCTCGCGTTTTCTGAGCAAGAGTGCAATAAATTATTTAATCAATCTTTAGTTAACAGAAGGTCTGTCATCTGAATAACTTGTTTGTTTCAGCATGCTAACGACGAATATAACAAATCCACGAACGTTCTCGGATCAACTTCCTAACGCACATTCTTAAGCGGCCACGTCATAAGATTTTCGAAGTCACCGCACTTTATGCTAATGTGTCGAATTGCTCCGCAATATAAGCCAACCACAAGCTCCTTTTGCAACACGAGAGAGCACTAAAAATGCACCCTCCTCGATTCAGCAGTTATCGGTAAAAGAATGCATGAGGTGCTCAGTCTTCAGAGTATGTAGAAAAAATTAGGCACAAATGACTGGGTTAGGAATGGGAAAGAAACTATTACCAAGCATTGCGATTGCCCTCACGTGCAGATTTGAAGCACCCGTAGTGATTGTGCGGCTACCACTCTACTGTAGGCGTATCGATGAATGAAAGAATACGTACTAATTAGTCACATCAAGGATGAAGGAAAGTCGGTTTCAAAATATTGTCACACTTCGTACTAGCTAATAATGATACTGACTTCAACAGGATGGAAGCAGTACTGACGGAGAACTGGACCAAGGAAAGACAAGTGGACAAAGAGGGTATCGAAAACGATTGCACAGAGTCGTGCGTTCTTTGTCCTCTTCACTACATCCTCGATGCTCTTGAAGGCTCCCGCTCGTTTCCTTCCGCTCAGCTCTGGTGCTAAGTCGTTCACCATATTGATTTGCCGACCTAGATAGACATAACTGGAGCATTAGGAGATATTCGTTCCATTGAGCGTGAATGGGGATGCGAAACCAATCCGTTCCTCATGAACATCGTTTCAGTGAGATTTAATCGAAGATCAATCTTTTCACTGGCCTTATCAAAGTCGACAAGCATACGATTCGTTTGGTCTGCAAAGCGAAGATGATGTAACTGCCGACCATCGATTTTCACTCCCATATTATCCCATTCGAATGTTCGCATGATACTCTGGAGGGTGGTTGCAAATAATTTTGGCGAGATGGTATCGCCTTCCCTAACTACTCTTTTGACGTTAATGTTAATGTCGTTGAAGATTGGTGATATCTCGATGCTGAAGTTTTTGCACAGCTCACGAAGAATCTTTATGTCCTGAGCAGGGACTCCTTGACTGTTAAGGGCTTCTATCTCAACTGAATCAAAGGCGTTCTGTAAATCAATGAAAGTGAGACAAAGCGGTCTTTTATACTCTCGCGACACTTCATTGAGCTGTGTTACCGTGTGAATGTGGTCCATCGTACTACATCCTCTTCGAAACCCTGATTGCTCACATGGCTCTCCTTCGTCAAGTGTCCTGTTAATCGTGCTTAGAACGACTCGAGGGAAAAGTTTGCAGACGACAAAGAGTGACCAAATGGGGCGATCGTTGCCGATATCGTGTAGGTCACCTTTCTTGAACAATAACGCTGTCTTGCTGGTCTTCCACTGAGTAGGGACCTTGCATTCAGACAGGTAACGTGTGAAGTGTCGACCCAGTGTGTTTATGAGGACTGGCGGAAGGTTCTTCAGGTGTTCCGATCTTATTCAGTCCCGGCCTGGTGCTGTTCGATTTTTCAGCGATAAAACAGCGTGTCGGATTTCGGAAGGGAGAACCGGTAGTACAACAAATCTATCCTCCTTTATTTCACATGAAGGAAGGTGGACGTGACTATCGAAGAGATTTGAGTAGTATTCGTGATTGACTGCTTTCATTGCCTTTCTGGACGCTGTGACCGTTCCATCTGGGCGTCGGAGTGCAATAATCCTGGTCTTGTAATTGCGGATGCTTCGGTAGGGTTCGCGAATGCTTTTTCTGGCCTCTGCAGTTTCTACCATTGCTGCTGCTCTTCTGTCTCTGAGATTTTCTTTTATCGCCTCTCTGCATTGTTTTGCAAGTTCGGACGTTAGTTCGCGGTTCCCTGCAGCTCGTGCGATTCCACGCTGGCGCATCAGCTCGAGCGTTTCTGGAGACAGACGTCTCCTGGCGACTTTTGAACCCTCTCAGCTTTCATTGTTCTAACGTGAAGATGTTGAATGAGCTGATTGTATTCTTCGTCGATGTTATCGACAAAGACATCTTCCCAACAACCGACTAATAAATTGAATAAGTTCTAGTTAACGGTGGTTCTGGAACAACGGTTTTTGAATTTAACGGTTTTTTCTCCTTTCCACGAGGAATAGAATCTTGCCCAAAGGAGACGATGGTCTGATCCAGAGTAGAATTTTGGAAAAACAGAGATATCGGTTAGGCAAAACCTTCTATTTACTACAAGGTAGTCTATTTTGTTATGGTACTCTCCACTGGAAGACTCCCAAGTCCAGCGCTGAGGGTGGAGCTTCTGGAATTACGTGTTACCATAGACGGTCATGGTCGTCATGATGAGCTAAGACAACCGCTCTATCTTTTCGTTCCATTCTAATCTATGGCACCCAATATGACGTTCTTCAGACATTCTTCTTAGCCCAATCTTGCGTTAAAATCTCCAATGAAGAATGAAGACCTTGAAGAATGTATAGCCTTCTCTGTAGAACTTCTCCAAGCCCATATAAAACAGTTGAATTTTTTCCATTATAGTTTAATGTCGGCGCGTAGACGACGAAGATTGTCAAAGTCGGTACTGGTCCACATCTTTTTAATTGTAAACGTCCGGCTCGGGTTTTAAGCTGTTCGACTGAATCGATGTTCTTTGACAAACTCGTGTTAACGAAGACGCCGACGCCGTCAACTCTTCTACTGTCGCATGTTCCGACGAACTGTTCTTCTCCAGTGTCATGGACGGCGTTGAGTGGGTGGGGTCGCCTCGTCTCAACCAAGCTAATGGCGTCGTACCTTATCCTTCTTGCTTTCATGTTCAACTCTTCTATGGAGGACTTGGATGAAAGTGTGCATGCATTTTAGGTGTAGATCGTCACTTTAGTTCTTTGCGATTTAGAGAGCTTAGAATTTCACTATTTTAGCAGTCCTTCCATACTCGTCGTGCGCAACGCTGCCTAATCGGAGGCTCCTTCGGGGTCAAGGTAGCAAGGCTCGTTTCTTTTACTGTTTTTAGCTTTTTGATTCCCACGTATAGCTTGCTGGGCTCTAAACCTGGGGGCTGGGTATGCTCACGGGTAGTTTGCTAGGCTCTCCCAGAGTGGACATGGAGCTTATTTGTTGGAGATGACTCCTAACCGCCTCACATATACTTCTCTGTCGCTTGACTGCAGGGTTTTGGCCGAATTGACTCGTAGAATACAATCCGTATAAGCGACAACGCACTCACACACGCATACATGAATACGCCTAGCAAATACAGAAAGTATGTGCCAAATCGGCGTAGCAGATACAGGGAGTCCGACTCCTGGATCTACCTGCGTCTCAGGGAAGCAAAATTCGCGATGAATCACCCATCCGCCACCTGGGGACGCGCCGAGTAGCTTCGCGACTAACCGGTTGAAGATCTCTCGTATGAGGGAGATCCGTGGATCTAGACGATGACAAGAGTTATTGATATATCACGAGAGTACAACAGATTGCCCCGTCTTACTTTTATCGAATTAAAGGAAGCTTTTGTCTCAGCTGAGATAGAGGCAGCCATGGAAGTTCTGAACGGCCAAGGCGTTTCTAGGCAGTAAGTGGAAGATTCTTAGCGTGCTACATAGAACTTATATCACAAATCTACAACGATATTAATATTGACGTCTAACGAGGAATTAGGCAAGTAGATTCTATCTCCGCAAAATTATTTACTGACAACCGCGAGAACGCCATACGAACATTAGAATGGGACAACATGGGAGTTGAAAATCAGTCCTCGGCAATCACACCATCTTCGCCTTGCTGATGACATCGTCTTATAACTCTAAGAGTTATCCAGGAAAACTGATTGCTTGTCAATTCTGATAACGTATATAGAAAGATTAGTTTTCAACTAAATTTCACAAACACAATGTCTATGAAGATCGAATTGGTTTCCAATATTGGAAATGTTT